AAAAAAAAAAAAAAAAAGATAGCTCAGTGTACTAAGTGCCTGCTTAGGCAAGCCTGAGGATCAGGGTTCAGTTTCCAGTACTACAGGCCAGCCCCACCACAAGGCACACTGAGCTTGCCACCAAGACTAAGTGTAGTGGCACACTCCTGTAATCCCAGCACTGGGGAAGCTGAAAGCAGTAGGATCACTATAAGTCCGAGCTGCATGATGACACCTTGTACCCAGTACTAAGGAAGGAAGGAAGGAAGGAAGGAAGGAAGGAAGGAAGGAAGGAAGGAAGGAAGGAAGGAAGAAAGAGTGAGCTTTGGTACTTTAATTAATCCCTGATGTTAAGTATGCCCAGAGGTCCTTGAGAAGGATAGATTAGAGCTCTGGTGGTGTGAGGAGAGAAGGTTGGTTTGCTACACAGTGCAAGACAAAAAAGCATACATCCAGTGAGAAACAATAACATGACAGTATTCTATACATTTTTGTCATACTCTAATAAACACAGTTAATGCAGCTACAGATAACATACTGGATATGTTTTTATGAATGTCCTGAATTCCAAATTTGGGATCATCACTCACAATAGAACAGATACCTCAGATGTAAGGTGTTTAAAATTTTATCCATCTTCCCATTTTTCTCTCATAACCAACAGACTTGCTCCTAAAGGCATGTGCATGAAGGGAAGCAAAAGAGTGATGTAAAGTAGAATCAATCAAGTGGCTGGTAGTTTAAAAATGAAACAGAAAGTTTTCCACAAATGAACAGAAGGAATGACCAAAGTGATTGAGAGACTGGGCTATTAAGAATTGAAATCACAATAATGTTTCGGTTCATGAATGTTTCTTTTCGCAAACAATTTGGTTTGATGAACAAAAGCATTTGGCAAAACTGTGCCTCCTTTGCAAACTCTGCATCTGGTAACATTGAGCCTTATGGGGAAATTTGATCTGGTTCACCACCAATTTGGTCGGTAACTAAAACTGAGGAATAAATTAAGTTCATTAACTGAAGTACTACTGTACCTGACCGAGAAAATAATTAAATAGTATTGAGATAACAAGATCTGTGCTCAGTATCTGAAGTCACATTTAAAAATAACATTGAACAGAACCCCATATATGCAGGAAATACAAAGTTCTAAGAATCGACAGATGGTTTTATATTAAATTAAAAATCTTCAGCACAACAAAAGAAACAACCAACAAGGTAAAAAAAAAAAAGCATACAGACTAGGAAAACAATTTTGTCAGCAATTTCTTTGACAGAGAATTCATATCTACAGTACATAAAACAATAAAAAAATTAGGCTCTCAAAATAAAATACTATCAAAAATGAGAAAGCAAAATTAATAGCCATTTCATAGAAGTACAAATGACCAATAAATAAATGGAAAATGCCCAACATCTCTGGTCATTAGAGATATATAAGTTAAAGATTTCATCTTACTAAAAATGTATGATCATTAATAAGTCAAATAACAAGTGGCAGCAAGTTTGCAGGGGGAAGAGGAAGCCTTCTACACTGTTGGTGGAAAGTAAAATAGTACAAATAGTACCAAAATTTGTACAGAATCGGGCAGAGAAATAGGAACTGATGCGGAGGTACTCAGAACTCTGGGTAATTTAGCTTGGCCAGAGGAATCCAGGTGCCTGTTTCATTCTTATATACAAAGTGTAGCACCTGGAACCTGACAACTGGCCTAACCAGAGAAATTCCCAATTTATTATTTGTTGTTATTTAAACTATAGACTTTGCTCCTATGTATAAAAGCAATAATACCAAAGTTTGCCAATTTCTAAATTTTGCTTGATGTTTTCATAATTACTCATTCTACTACTGTAGCTAGAATATCATATCTGTTTTAATCATTTGTTCTCCCTTGGTAACAACATTGGGAAGTGTTGGAGTAATAATCTTAGCACAGTCCTATACCTAAAGAAAGAGGACAGTGCCAAACAGAAACCAACATCCCACTCTCAATTAATTGGGAAGTCAGGATTTTTTTAAAGAGTTGATAATAACTTTATTCCCACTAAAAATGAATACATATTGCTACATGTATCAAATGAATGTCACTGATAATACAAGCAAGCAAAACTTGGGTTTACTCCAGGGAAAAGCTTTCATAATCTCTATAGAGGAAAGCATTACAGCAAGAGATGGCAGACTGTTCCCTGAAGAGCTTGCAGTCCCGATGGGTGGATAAAACATGCATACATAAAGTGATTGGGATTCATTTCCTCCTCTGCCTCATACATGAGTTAGTTTACCAAAAGTGAGTGTAGGGAAGTCAGGATCTTGAAACAAACAAAAAGCATCTTCTCTGACACACAGAAGATGTCACTGAACAATAGAGTTTTCCTAGAGTAGCCTTGTCAAAAGAATGCAAAAGTCACATTGAACATTAGCCAAGGCAAGGTGAATACAGTCATCCAAAGAGTAACAAATGACACAACAGCCTACTGCACAAAATGGGACATGAATAGGGAAGCTAAGAAATATCTTCTATCTGTAGAATGTCAATTATCACATGTTCACTACAAAGGTAGGAACTATTAGCTGATGCTAACACTTGTGGGAGGAATTTGATGAAGATCATGTTGAGTACATAGCCTATTATCTCACTCATAAGGCATTAATCAATTCCAATGTGAAACAATAGAAATGTCTAAGCAGAGAAAGCAGAGGACACCAACAATATCAGATGATCAAGGTATGCACCACCAGTGATAGGAGCAGCCTCTTCTGTGTTGCAAAAGAACGTGGCAATGTCTCATGGCCTGAATGAACTCTAAGGTAGATGCAGCCAGTGACTCATGAAATGTTCTAAGACTACAAAAACTTGAAAAACAAGACAAGACCAGGAGAACTGTTTCAGAGTAAGAAAATCTGAAAAGATGATGACAAAAATAACAACCAAACTTCCTGAGAGGATTCAGAGAAAAGGACACAGAAACACTGTAGTGAGAGTGCTGGTGATATTGGACTGCAGCTTGTGGTCTGGATGGTGATAAAACCCTGAGAGTAGTTAAGTTTCTCTCTGGGAGGGTGGGACAATGGACTTCCCTTGCCACTTGGAGCTACATGCAGCAGTATTGGCATGGAGAAAATATGAAGTGGGATCAGAGAGAAAAGAAGACGCAGCAGATAGAGGAAAAAGTAGTAACTGGAGAAATTGATAAGGAGAATAGGATTTTCTTTGTACAATATATTCTTGAAGCATTTTGACAGTTAGATATTATTTTTATTAATTTTAAAGAAGATACACAAATTTAGAATTTTTTCCTATAAAAAGTTCTTTTTTTTCCCATAAAAAGTTCTTACCACAGACTTATATCTTAGTTAAAGGAAATGCTGGGGGCCCACTGGTTAGCTCAGTTGTTTAAGCTCCTGCTTATGCAAACTCAGTCAGGTGCAGGATACTGTGGTCCCATCCCAGCTCCACATGTCTTACCAGGGCAGCCTGTGCCAGCCAAAAAAACAAATCCTTCTCAGTTTTTCTGAGGGGATTTGACTGACCTTGTCAGATACAAACGTTACATTTTTTTCTTATGTAGGTCTTGTTTTATCTTGGTCTTAACCATCCAGCAGAAAAGTATAAAAATGAGGTATAAAAAGAAAAGCCATATTAATATGCTGAGCTGTAAAAGGCTCAAGTCAACAACTTCTCATAGTGCCAGTCATGTCGATAACCCACTACTATTATGGACTACTGGACTATATTGGATTACTTTGCTGAATTCATGCACCTACAATATTTGAATGGCAACGGAATACCCATTTCTGACAAAGCTAAACAAAAAAGGGGGAATAAAGGAAATGCCATTTCTTTTATGTGATTCTTCCATTTATTCAGGTACCAAGTTTTGGAAATCATTGTCTCAAACATGACACCACAGGTCCCATTCCTGAGCTAATTCTGCTGGCTCTGTCTTCAGAACAGATCTAAAATTCACCCTCACCTCAGCACCTTACCCTGACCATCCTAGTCAAGGCACTGTCACATCTCAACACCATCCTTCCTAGTGTGCTTGCACTCACCAATGCCCAACTTTATCACCCTTCTACCTCTCCACAGCTTCCTTTCCTCTGCTCTAGAACTCTGAAAAGATTTCCAAAATCCCTTAGGGACAGTAAAAACCATCCTTCTCACAGTGGTCTGTAGGGTTTCTGTAATCTGACACCAAAGAATTTAACTCACATTCTATTTTACATGTGATGTGCTGAACTGTGTCCTTCCCAAAACTCATGTGTTGAAGTCCTGATACCCACTAAGTCAAGACTTAGACAGAGTTTGCCAAAAGGTAATTCAGGTAACATGAGGTAACTGAGTGAGTCTAATCTGCCTTGAGTCCATGTAAAAAGAGATGTCACACAAACACAGAGGGAGATGATGGCCACCCACAAGCCAATGACAGAGGACTCAGAAGAAACATTCCTGAGGATACTTTGTTCTCACAGTTTCAGCCTCCAGAGCTGGAATAACACTAACATTCATGATTTAAGTAAGCTAGTCTGTGGCATTTTATTAGGTCAGTGCCCTAGTCAAGCTCCCTTACATTTAGTCACTGGATTCTGTCCCTTTGACCTCTTCAATGTCCCACAGAATAGATCTGCTTGGCCCTGGGCCATTGTCTCTTCCAACTAGAGATCTCTCCTGCCAGTTACTGCCTGGTCTCTGTTGCTTTCTCACAGCCCACACATCCCAAGCTTGCGATCTTTTCTTGCCCTTCTTCTACTTAGAGCAGCCCCCCAAAACCAACACAGTCATCCTTCCATGTGCTCCTGTTTTGTTTTTCTTGATAGCACTTCTGTGTTAGCTGACTGTTTCCCTCTAAGGAAAAAGCAAATTGTGCTATTCCATGCTGAGTGTCTGCATCAGGGATACTGGGTAAACACACACACTCAGGTAGTAAATAAATGAAAGAACAAGATCCTCACTGCATTTACCTCTTCAGGAGTAAAAGCACAGCATGTGCCGTGCTAGAGTCTAAACCATTAGTGGGCTCATCCAGGAACAAGATAGAAGGGTCAGTGATTAGTTCCATGGCAATACTGGTCCTTTTCTTCTCTGCTCCAGACAGATCACCAACCTAAAACAAAATATTTTTTAGTAACAAAAATGACTGAAAATAAGTCTTCCTCTTCAAATCATTTTTGTCAGAATTTTGTCACAGCAAGGAAACTTGAACATGTCCAACTATGATTCTTTCCAGTTGAATTTACATATTACTTTGGAATCTGCAACTTTATTCAGATCCAGGTCTTCAATGACTTTGTTAATCCTCTCTTCTTTTTCAAGATTTGTCACAGTCATTGGAAGTCGCAGAGCTGCCGAGAACTGTAAGTTTTCTCTCACTGTCAACGTGCTCATCATGACATGATCCTTAAGACAAAATGGTGTTTGAATAAGATAGTCTCAATTATTGTAACTGTCCTACTAACCTGTTTTGAAATTGTCTCATTGCTATTTCCTTCTCAATAAAGTTAATATAAAAATGAAAAAAAAGATACACAGTCTTTAACAAGAACATTAAGGCATATATAATTTAGACTGTATAGGTAATGAAAATGTAAAACTACCATACTCAATGAAAAGGTCTAGCTAATTGTGAACTTTCAGTTCTACAGGTAGCAATGCCCTTATATACAGACAGCTACAGTACTGTGAAGTCATTGCCATCCTTCATCTGCACACTCTGAGACAGCACAAAAAATTATGATGACTATAATTAGACATTTCCAGGCTTCTTTGTACAACAATTTGCCAAAGATATCTTTAAGGGAAAAGACAAAGGTCCTTTAGGGAAGGTACAAAAGGGCAACAGCAGACTCTTTTAGAAATAATTATAGCTAAAATTGATGCTCCTGCCCTATTAGGGTCATATTCCAAGTACTCTGTTTTTCCACTTAAAGTCACCTTCAGTCTAATGGTGGATTACGGAATGCTGATGTGAAGAGCATGCCACGCCATCCACTAGAATCACATTAAATAAACTACATGCCAAGGCACTTGCCCACACAGAAACAGAGGAATTTTATAGGGTGAACCCACTGATACTTACTTGTACTACATAACTTGAATGACATTTAAAATCAGCAGGATGAGGTGCTCCATTTATCAAAACATCTCCAGATAATCCATGTGGATCTTTCCTTGCTGATAAGACATCTAATAATCTAAAAAGGAAATAAATGTAGGATTTTCTCCCTATAACATGGGCCATGTCCCCATTACTGTGAATTCAAATCTGCTCAAGTTAGCATATGAACTAGTAGGAGCTGAAGAGATGTCTCAGCAATCTAAGTACCTGACTGGCAAGCATAAGGACCTGGGTTCAATCTCCAGTACCACATGCCATGCTGGCCCTATGACCCAAGCACACCATGGTGGCCATTGAAATCAGGCATAGTGGCACATGCCTATAATCCCAACACTGAAAGGGCTGAGATAGGAGGATCACTATGAGTCCGAGCTATATAGCAAGACCCAGTACCAAATAAACGATTAAAAAGCAAAAGAAAAATGAACTAGTAATGGTATTCTATAGTTTATCTAAAATCAAACATTATTTATTTATTTATTTATTTATTTATTTATTTATTTATTTTGCTGGCTCAACCCACCCTGAGGGTGAAACTGGTGCAGTTTGTGGTGCTGAGGATCAAATTGTGGTCCCCTGCACCTGCATAAGCTTGCCTAAGCAGGCACTTTAGATCCCTGGGCTATCTCACTGGTTCAATAATTTTAATACAAAAACATTTATGTAGTAATAGGTATATATAGTTGAATGGCCACTTTTCTTTTCTTTATATGCTACAAGAAAGTCCCACACCTTAAAAGCAAGATATCAAAAAAAAAAAAAAGCAAAAAAAAAAGCAAGACATTGACTTATCAGCATAGACCTCCCAAATGACCTCTTGCTATCTATGTTTGGTGGCTTCAATCCAGGAAGTGCACTCTCTTTTCTCAGATTCAGGCCCTCACTTAGAATTTCTGCTTTTTATATTCAACTCTACTTTTTATATTACCCCTGTCTTTTCTTTCTGCCTTAGAGCACCCTATGTCCCATTGTTGTACACCACTAACTTTATAAACTTCTATTCATATAGTTTATCTACGACTTTCATTCTTTCACATAAAGCAAAATCTGACCAGCTGCATGCTATCCACAACTCCTAGAACCAGCTTGGTCATGTACAGCAAATTCTTAACCAACACTTGCACATGTAGAAGTGATTTCTTTTTTTCTTTCTTTCTTCTTTTTCTTCTTCTTCTTTTTTTTTTTTTCATAACAGGGGATTGAACTCAGGCCCTTGCACTTACCAGGTAAGCACTTATTCTACTGAGCCATCTCCCTAGCCCCTATTTGTAAAAGCAAGCAAACTGCACAGAAAAGGCCTACTGATATTTTATGTTATACTCACACAGATTTGCCTGCTCCTGCAGTTCCCATAATGGCATTCAGGCCTGGTTTCATGATCCCACTGTAAACAGAATAATATCCATGCTTATCATTCAATTTTAAGCTACCTTATTTTAAAGCCCCAATCCAGAAAGTGGCATCCGAGATGAATACACACTTTTAAGAGGATGAAATTAAAGAAGCGAATAAATATATGAAAAAATGTTCCACATCACTAGCCATCCATGAAATGCAAATTAAAACAATACTCAGATACTATCTCACCCCAGAAAGAATAGCTATTGTAAAGAAATCAACCAACTACAAATGTTGGAAAGGCTGTGGGGAAAAAGGAACCCTTCTCCACTGCTGGTGGAAATGTAGACTGGTGCAACCATTATGGAAATCAATGAGGAGACTCCTTAAAAAACTAGGACTGGAAATCCCATTCAAACCAGCTATCCCCCTACTGGGAATTTTCCCAGAGGAACTGAACATCTCATATCATAGTGATATAGTTGCAGCTATGTTTATAGCAGCACAATTTGTGATAGCCAAATTTTGGTAATAACCAATTTGCTTATCACCTGAGGAATGGTTGTAAAAGATGTGGCATTTTTATACAATGGAGTATTATTTAGCTATAAAGAATGATAAACTCAAAGCCTTTATATTTAAGTAGATGTCACTTGAAGATATATTCATAAGTGAAATAAACCAGACTCCCATCTGTAAATATCATATAGACTCCTTAATGTAAGAACTCAAAAGAAGAAATAAAAATAGAAAGGTATGACACAATTTAAAGGAAAGGAAGAACTTAAGGATTAGACAATGAAGAGAGGGCAAGGAGAAAAGTTAGGAAACATGACAGGGGCAAAGCCATACATTGATATGCACAAGATGATTAAGGCAATGATCTTGAGAGTCCTCAGGAGGTTTATGCAACTAGCAGTTAATTGGAAAGATTCTCACCCTGACTATATATGCTGATACCTGTGAACTAACTGCACAGAAGATAGCAATGTATAATACTAAGGTCATGCTTGGAATGCCTGTCATTCTGGTCTTCTAAATACGTACTTTTGTCATATCATACCAATTACAGCCATACTGTCTCTCAAGTAGATGTTTATTTTAAAAAAGGTAATTAATGAAAACTAGAGACAAAAAATTCATTGGACTATCCTGCTACAGTGCTGTATATGGTTAGATTTCTAAATTTCTGTGTAAAAATATGTAATTGTTTATTTCTATTTTTTAAAATACTTTTTCTCTATATTCTGTAGGGACTTAAAAGTTTAATATATCCATACTTGATGGAAAATACCTGTTCCATGTTATGTCTAAGATGTTTGATATTTAGATATCAAACTTAACTAGTGAGTTTAAGCTCAACCAATTATGTTGTAAGGTAGTAATAATAAGCTTCTCTTTTGGATGGTTAACAACTTAAGTGTGAAGACCAAAAATTAGAGAAAAAGAAGGGCTGCAAGGACAGCCAACATTTTGACCATTGCCTTTCTGGATCAGTGAGGACTCCTGACATAGGGGAATTGTACTGTTACATCTTATAACTCAGTTGTGTCCCAAACTTACTGATCAAGGAGATTATGGGGCCACAGAGAAAAGTGATTGATGATGTAGAGTGTGCCTAAGGAGGGTCACAGGGACAAAAAGCATTCTCTCGGGCTTTCACAGAGAGCAAATTGGCCAAGCAATGGCCATGAGTTATCCACATGGTGACACTGACAAAGATCTACAAACTGCGGTACAAGGTTTCAGGGTAAATCCTGAGGGGATTTGACTCACCTTGTCAGATACAAAGGTTATATTTCTTGTTATATAGGTCTTGTTTTATCTTGGTCTTAACCATCCAGCAGAAAATTATAAAAACAAGGTATAAAAAGTAAAGCCATATTAATAGGCTGAGCTGTAAAAGGCTCAAGTCAACAACTTCTGACTGTGCCAGTCCTCCGAATAACCCACTACTATTATGGACTACTGTACTATATTGGAATATTTTGCTGAATTCACACACCTACAATATTTAATGGCAATGGAATATCTAGCTCTGACAAAACTAAACAAAAAAGGGCACACAAATAAAGGACCATTTTTTATCTGTATATACAAAATAGTTAGGATAGATATTCAGTTACTTTCTCTTAATTGAATGCGTCGAAAGATTTGTACTAATAGTGTTTGTGGACAGGATATCATGTCTGTACCTTCTAATAATTATAACCACTAAGAAGAGAACAATATGCAATGTATTAATTGTTGAAATTCTCCTATTAACCGCTTTTGAAATTGTCTCATTTCTGTTTCTCAATAAAATTATTAAAATAAATAAATAAATTATTAAATCAATATTCTTGTAAAGAGTATAGGGAAGTTCCCTGATGATTATATGATATCCACCCATCTTCTGGAATGAATTTTTTTTTCAGCAGAACTGGGGATCGAACTCAGGCCTTTGTGCCTGGCAAGCGCTTATTCTACTAAACCATCTACTCAGTGCCCTGAATATTTTTTTTTTCAAGAGATTTTCAGCACTGGAAAGAAAAGACTCTAATTCTAGATATGCTACCAAGCTAAATATTGGAAAAAGATATATCATAAAAGAAAAAAATCTTTTCAATTGACATGATCAGATTCTGTTTTATCTTTTTTGCAAAAGGAAAGAAAAAACAAAAATGCAAGGGAAAATCAAGATTGTCATCAGTTTTCCTTTCTGAATCATGATGTTATTATCAAATAAACCAAAAGTAAGTTAAGGAGAACAACCCTTCCCACAGCCCAGAGACTCTAATTACTGGTAACAGGCACACTGAAGTCATAAAGACATAGACTTGTTCATGGATCTCTAACCAGAGATTGGAGTAAGTGAATCCTGACTGTCATTGCCTTCTTGCTTATAAAAGTTAAAGCATTTGTAGAGAATTGGGTTGATAGCTTGGCAGTATAAGCATCTGCCTGGTAAGTGAAAGTTCTCAGGTTCAATCCCCAGTACTGCACCCTGTGCCAGCCCCTGGCACTCCATGTTGGCTACTGAAACCAGGCATATGGTGGGACAAGCCTGTATTCCCAGTTCTCGGGAGGCTGAAACAAGAGCATCACTATCAGTCCAAGCTGTGTAGTGAAACCCTGTATCAAATAAATAAATTGCTTTAAAAATTAAAGAATTGTAGATTTGACTGATTATACAAGTAAAAGGAGATGACATCCATTTATAAAAATGTATACTACTAAGCCATAAAAATGATGTGAACTTTGAAGAGATGAGACACATCTCAAATCATCAATTTACATTCCACCCTTTTAGCTCAAAATATGAAGAGATAAACAATTGTGATTATTAATTTCAGAAAGTTTTTCAACTTTTTAGGAATCATATCTTTGAGCAACCTCAAATATACATCTCAATAACATAAAAAAGTATGGTTTCAATTTTCTAGAACTTAGAAAAACATTAACATCTCTAATGGATAACATCTCTGAACTAACATATACCAATGAGCAGGTTCTATACAAATGCTCATTTGCCTCCCACAACTAGCTCTCAATTCAACATCAGGCTCTAAATGATGAACTCACCGTTGGATTAAAAAAAATCATAACTACTAAATGCTTCTAAACACAAATAACTGCACATATTTGAATCCTAAATTCTCATCAATTTTGACTTCCAACTGTGTAACTTAAGCTAAACTACAGTGACATTACAAATATTTTCTATTTGCCTGTATAACAGAGAAATAATTGAGTTTATTATAGTCCATAAATGGTTATAAACAGGCAATTCATTTAAAACAGGTCTATTCTAAAAACAAAGTACCTCATACTATAATTGTAACATTACCATTACTAGAACATAAAGCACATACAGGGCACACATTAGTAACTGTCCCTATCACCAGCAAGTGTATTACACAGACCAAAAAACTGAAGTACAAAGGTTATAATTACATTATCATAATCAAAAAGATCATGATAGTGATCAAGATAATTTGCTAATTATACATCAGTATTGCTTCTCATCAAAATGTAAGACTTACCCAGAAAAAAGCTAAATAATAAATTAATTATTCAGATTTTTAAACCAAGGTCAATGCACACAGAAATACCATTTTTAAAAATTTTTCAGTTCCTTTCAAAGTTAAACATACTCCGCTCAAAGCACAACAATCATTTCATTCCATGCTTGGAAATGAAACCAGTTTAGTCAACAATAATGAAAGTATTGTCTAAATATTTATACAAACACATGCACACAATGTTTCCAGTAGCAAAAATCTGTGAATTTCACTATAAGTCATTAAGTGGACCTTTCAAAAGTTCACACAGGGAGTTAGCTCAGTAGCATAAGCACCACAACTGCAAGGTCCAGAGTTCAATCCCTGGTACCTGAAAATAAAAAAGTTCATGCACACACCTGATATTTGATAATATTTCTTTCTCAACTGTTTTTTGACCAGGGAGAAAGCCACTCTTCATTTTTACTTGATAGGAGAGGTTATGAAAACTTAACACAGTCCTTTCATTACGTGTCTTCAGGTCACTTGTAGTCATTGCAGGAAGGTCTCTGGTGTTTCTTTGTAATATTGGGATATAAACCTTGTCACTACTGGAAGACATCTGGAGAGTTTCTGCCTTTCTGTAGAGGGAAAAATAATAATAAAGCAATAGTCCCAATAAATGAGATTGTAAACATCAACAATAATACATTTTAAAGTCTATTTTAAACTGTGTTGTAATCGGTAGATTCCTTCTCAATGAATAGCACACATTACTGTGGTAACAATCACAGAAACTATAATTGGAGGCAGACATAACTTTAAATATGTACCTAAAAATAGACTTAAAATTCTTTAGAATAAATGGTGCCCTGATAAGTAGAATATAAATGCTATAAAGGCTTCTGTCTCAGTTACTCTTCTCTCACTGGGAAATACACAACATGCAAAATGAAGGAAGGAAACGTTTACTTAGCTCACAGTTAGTGAAGGTTTAAGTCCATACTCAGCTGAGTCCAAGGCAGTATGTACATGGCACAGAGCAGCCATTCATGGTAACAGCAAAGAGCAAAGAGCAAAGCTAGCTAGCCTCTCTCTCCTCCTTAAATTGTAATGTGATTACACACCCCAGGGCCACAATGTAGCACTCACACCTGCAATCCTGGCACTGGATCAAGAATCAATCACAAACTCCAGAAGTCACCCCATGACTGCATGAGGATTTGGGGGAACATCTAGACATAAACCCTAACAGTTTTATCTTTTGGCTTATATCTATATGGCCTGGAGCATCATGCGCTCACAGACAGCTTTTGAAAGTTTATTGGATGCTGAGGGGCTTCTAGTTGCTATTGAAAAGTGGGGTCTGATCACAAGAGGTGGGGCACAGTGTCATGTATTTTGTCTCAGTGACAAGAAAGTAACATAGATTGTGGTGTCAGAGGATTGAGGTCATTGCTGTGACACTACCACACCATATAGTTCAGAAGCCTTTCAAAGTGGTTTGCATGTGTTTGGAAAGGGCTGGAGATGCTGGCTATAGAAACAGCCCTCAAGTGCTACAAGCAGAGCATGATGAAATATTCTGCTCAGAGCTCAGAAGACCAGAATGTTGATATAAAGTTTGATGGTAAAGTCCAGGATCTGGAAGTTTCAATTGGGAAGAAAGACTCAAATGGCAGTTGTATTAGAGAAAATGT